GAAAAACCTCCAACCTCCTCAATCTCAAAACCTGTGGTTGATGTTGATGAAGAGTTGATCAAGAGGTTCCAAAGTCTGTTCGATGAGGTCAATATGGTAGAAGTTGATGAAGGCTCTAGTAAAGCAGATGTGCAGCTCGTTGGCCCAAACGTGAAGCTTAGCAATTGGGAGGCTACTTCTCTCCCCACCAGGAAGGAATTTTGGTAGTCTGCTTTGTTTTCCTTTATGTTATCTAGGTTATTCCAGGGTTGTAATCTAGATTTTTAGTTTTTGCTTGTTTTGATGCTCAAACCCTTCTATCCTTTTATTTTCAATGAAATGCAATTTCCTGTTTTCCGTTATTCCTAATAGTGTTCTATTTTGTTCTTTTTTCTTTTGTACAATTCTTTTATGCTGGTTGCAATGATATGACATGCATGAAGAATTTTCAGCCGAGTCTTAAAAGTCAATCTAATTCTGAAATAACAATCCAAGAAGTAGAATATGATGATGAAATAGAATATGATGAAGAAGCAGCATTTGAGGAAATCAGTAAGGAGCTAAAACAATTTGAAGAAAAATCAAAGCCTAATTTGAGTGAAACTGAAGCAATCAATTTAGGAGACCAAGATAATGTTAGGGAAACCAAAATAAGTGTGCATTTAGAGCCGCAAATTAAGGAGGAAATAATCAAAACATTGTTTGAGTACAAAGATGTCTTTGCATGGTTATATGACGATATGCCGGGCCTAAGCACTGATCTAGTAGTTCATAAATTGCCAACGGATCCAGCATTCCCTCCTGTCAATCAAAAGTTGTGAAAGTTCAAGACTGATATAAATGTGAAGATCAAAGAAGAAATCACAAAGCAGCTTACTGTAAAGGTCATTCAGGTCACTCGATATCCCACTTGATTAGCCAATGTTGTGCCAGTACCAAAGAAGGATGGTAAGACCAGGGTATGTATTGATTACCGTGATCTTAACAAAACAAGCCCAAAGGATAATTTTCCATTGCCGAACATTCACATTCTAATCGATAATTGTGCTGGTATATGGAACTGAGGCAGTTAGACCTGCAGAAGTTAAGATTCCATCCCTTCGGATCATTGCAGAAGCTGAAATTGATGATGATGAGTGGGTCAAAACCCGGCTAGAGCAGTTGAGTTTGATTGATGAGAAAAGATTGGCTGCAGTATGTCATGGTCAATTGTATCAGAAGAGAATGGCAAGAGCATACAACAAAAAGGTGCTTCCTCGGAAATTCGAAGTGGGCCAGATGGTATTGAAACGCATCCTTTCTCATCAGGCGGAAGCTAAAGGCAAATTCGCCGCAAACTGGCAGGGGCCATTCGTTGTGACAAGAGTATTGCCCAATGGTGCTTTGTATTTAACAGACATAGAAAGCAAATGTGCAGATATGTCTATCAATTCTGATGTAGTCAAGAGGTACTATGTATGAGTTCTTTGCTTATTTTCAATCGTATTTTGTGCTTGGCATGTTCAAAGTTGAAATGACGAAGGCATTTTGTTCCGTTACCCAAACACTTTTATCCTTGTTATCTCTTTCGAGCCTTATTTATTTTGTTTCATACCCCACTTTTGCAATCAGTAGTAGAATTAAAAAATGAAAAAAGAAGAAAAAAATGAAAATGAAAATGAATGAAAAAAAAGAAAAAGGAAAAAAGGAAAAACAAAAAAAAAGAAAAAAAAGAAAGAAAAGCAACAAAAACAAACAACTTTCTTTCGAACTACATTCGACCTGTTTCCTTTTAAGGATACGTAGGCAGCCTTACACGGTTCGGTCCCATCAAATAAAATCTAAAATTCCCCAGATCCAAAGAAATTGGGGCAGAAGTTTTGGTTTTGCAAAAGATCTGATTCCAAAAGTTGTAATTTTAAACCCCTTTTCATCTTAAATTATTTTGAGCCTTCATGTCACCCTTTCTTTCTAACCCTGTCCAAAAGCCTACATTATGGTCCAAAGAAAGACCTTCCGATCAATTTTTGAGGATGCCAAGACAAGCGAGATAGAGGTATGATTTACATCATGGGTAACATTTCGTTCATGGACACAAAGGAAAAATTAATAAAATAAGAGAGTCTTACCGGTGAAAACCCTCACGGGCACCGTAAGGCGATGGTGAGCTGAGAGAAAATTTAAAATGAGAGAGTCTTATTGGTGAAAACCCTCGCGGGCACCGTAAGGCGATGGTGAATTGAGAGATGAACAAATGAGAGAGGCTTGTCGATGAAAACCCTTCGGGGCACTGCAAGTCGAATGAGGCTCGTGACTTCACAGGGGAATTGGATCGGTGAAGGCCCGATTTTTGAAGTATGAAGACATGACATGAACTGAAATATGATTGGTTGGACGGATTAGGCTGATTAGTCCGAAATGCATGTCATGATCATTGGAGCTAGCCGCTTCACTCAGATAAGCCTTCTTTTTCCCATTCTTCTTCACATAGTCATCTGTGTCTAAAATTTTCTTTTGTGCCTTTTATCAAAAATCATTTCACGTTGCTTTTTGAGTCTATCTTTTATAAGTCTCTTTCGAATTAGCCCTTGTTGAACAAGCAGGAAAGGATTTCAAAGCCTACTACCAGCTTCTAAATTGCACAAAGCGGAATTCGGCCAGGCACATCACAATTGACATGATTTAGAATAAGAAGCATGGTGATAACTGAGGTTCAGTCAATTAAGTGAATCTTGAATTTTGAGAAAATACAAGGACTCAGCAACTTTCAGAATGAAAAATACAATGCAACAAGTGAGTGTAAGAGATTCAGATCATTCAGAGGTTTTGTGGTTCAGTTCCAATCAAAAGGTCAAACAACTCCTTGCTGGCTCGAAGAAGCTGGTCAGAATGAAGCATGGCAGTGGCAGAAGCAGACGCTCAGCAATGATGCCACAAACTAATCACCACGTTTTCCAACTAATAAGATTTTATTTTTCTGAAACAGGGGCAAGAAAATTTGTTAATCCACAGGGACCCTCCCATAAAGAAGGCATGGTTCAGGGGCAAGAAATTCTGTTCAAATCCTCCAAGAAGAGAGCATGTTTCCGGACCCTCCTGGATAATGAGATTTAATTTTAAAAATTTTCAGGACCCTCATGGATAATGTAATTTAATTTCAAAAGAGTTTTCAGGACCCTCCTGAATAATGGGTAAGTTCTCAAGACCCTCCTGAAAAATGAGATTTAATTTAAAATTTTCAAGACCCTCCTGGATAATGAGATTTAATTTTAAAAGTTCTCAGGATCCTCATGGATAATGAGATTTAGTTTAAAATTTTTAGGACCCTCCTAGATAATGGGATTTAATTTCAAAAGAGTTTTCAGGACCCTCCTAGATAATGGGGCCTAGTTAAATTTCAAGACCTTCCTAGATAACAAGATTTAGTATAAGTTCTATCTGTAGAATATATAATTTAGCTTTAAAGTTGTCACTCTTAAGATGAGATTTAATTTGAAGTCTTCAGGGCCCTCCTGGATAATGATATTTAGCTTTTAAATTCTTAGAGCTCTGTAGGTAACATGATCCGATTAACACTCACAAATATGGCCAGATCCCAAACTGGGGCAGAAAAATCCCTTTTGTTTGGTCTATTTTGTTGTAATGACAGGCGCCCACATGGATAACAAGAGAATATAATTCAAGTTTTTGGCAATCAGGCGCCCACCTGGATAACAAGGGAATACAATTCAAGTTTTTGGAGATCAGGCGCCAACCTGGAGAACAAGAGAATACAATTCAGGTTTTTGGCAATCAGGCACCCACCTGGATAACAAGGGAATACAATTCAAGTTTTTGGCAATCAGGCGTCCACCTGGATAACAAGGGAATACAATTCAAGTTTTTGGCAATCAGGCACCCACCTGGATAACGAGGGAATANTATTTCTATTTAGTTTAGATTATTAATATTTTTTATAGCAATATATTTTGTTTTTATTATGATTTTTACCTTTATTTTTTAATATAATAATTTACATAAAATTGATATAATATATATATATATATATATATAGTATGATATTTTTACTTTAATCATAATTAATTTTAAATAATTTTTTATAAAGAAAGGTTTAAGTTTTTAAAATGATGGATTTTAAAGGTTATAGTCCCAAATTTTGGCCCAATTTCAGGTAAGAAGAGGCCCAAATCTGGGCACCCCATCCCTTTCCCCTTAACCCGCCTGAGATCCGCCCAAACGACCCAGTAACCCGCCTCACTTCCCATACTAAATCCTAGCCATTCACCCCTTTTAATCCAACAACCCATATTACTCCCCACCATAACATAAAAACATAATCTTCATTAACCCTAAACCTAATCTCAAGACCCTAGCCGCAACCCCTCATCTCTGCCCGCCTCCAAACTCGCCGAAACTTGTCCAAACCCGGCGATTTCACTCGTCCCAGTCCCATGGTCCCCCTCTCCTATCCTCTCATTCTTCCATGTCACACACTCCGTATAAGCCTCATCATATCCATTAGATTCATGCGTTTTCCTTTCTTTTTCGTCGATTGAAGCGAATCCGAGACTCTTGAATAAATCTTGGAGAAATGGGAACCGTTGGATGAAGATTTTTGTCCAAAGTCTCCATTTTTTCGATTTTGTTTGTGAAAGAAAATTTTCGGAATTTATTTGAGGGCAAATTCGGATTTTGGGGGATTTCTTTTTGAAAAAGGAGAAGCTTCGAGAGAGAGCTATATATTTGAGTTTTTTGGACAGAATTTGAGGGTTCTTCAGAGAAAGGAAAGCAGAAGAAAGTTCTAGGGTTTTAATATTGGATCCAGATTTTTCTTGGGATTTTCGTTTCTTCATATATAAAAGAAAAAAAAATCAGTTTTCTTCGAGTTTTCAATTTGACATCAAAGTCAGGAAAAAAAACCAGTCTCTTCTTCTGAATTTTTGTTCGAAATGGAGTTAAAGCCAAATGGGTGTTCGAATTTTTGAAGTCATTGTTCATGTTTTTGGTCGTGGCTCATTGTCTTTGCTTGAAGATCTATTTGAATTTCTCTATTCCGGATTGGCCTGATCTTGCTCGATTCAGTGTCGCGATTGATAAATTTTGTCGATTGGAAGGTTAATCTCAGGTTCTTTTTAATCCCCTCTATTTCATTTTGGTGTGATTGGAGTGACTGATTTCAGAATGTGCTAGATTCCCTGTTCTTAAATTGTTGCTGATTTGTGTTAACTAGTTGTTGTATGTGTGATTAGAGTGTATGAGTTATTTTATAGGTCTAAAATCAGCCTATATGTGTTTGCTTTACCACTGTTTGGATTCATAGCCTAGTAATTGTTCCATTATCTTTGTATAGTTAGAGTACTTTATTAAGGGAAAACAATGTGTTTGGTTTGGATTTCGGACCTTTTCTTCTCGATTTTCTTTTGGCGTTAGTTCTTTCACTTCAAAATCAATTCCTTTATTTTTCATACTTTTCTCAAAGATCAGAAACGTAAGAAAAATTAGTTTCATTTTTCTTCAATTTAAAATTTCTAAAACATGGAACTTTGTTTAAGTTTGGAACTTTGTTTAAGTAATGAACTGAAATTCTTTCTTTGTTTAAATCAAGTTTCCACGCTTGGTCCTTGTTGGTCTATCAAGATTTGAGAGTTTATGATTGTACTTATATGATAGTTTTATTGAAATTTTTAGGAGCTCATGAAAGCATGTTTCAATCTTTACCGAAGGCTACATTTGGTTTCAAAATTTTCTTTGAGTGTTAAGAATTAAATTCTTGTTTCTCTAATTGCTTTGGATGCCCGTATACTTTATTTGGTGATTGATTTTGCGGGATATGAAATTGATTGAATGGTTAATGGGTTGTGGGAGTGGGAAAAGGCCGAGCCCATTAGTAATTGATTCGTTCATATTATTTAGGAATTGGGTTTGATCTAAATACATGAAAATGATAAGTTAAAAGAACATGACCCCGAGTTGAATTTCTTTTAGTTTTTCTCTTATTTACTTATTCTCGTTTTATTATTATTCGCTAGGAGCATGTTAGGCCGACCACATTGGGTAGGCAAGCTTTTGGACTTCTATTAATTATGAGGCGAGAGGTCGTTCCCTTAGTTAAATTTATCCGGGGAATGCCCTGAAAGACTTGTATATATTTTATTTTGGGGAATGCCCCGTAGTACTTGTATTTGGAGGCCAAAAGTAGAGATTGCAGCAGTTTATTTTTTTCTTTTATTAGGTGGGGATGACCTCGAGCCTTTTTATGTGTTTATTTTTCTGTGATTGTTTTACCTCAATTCAAATACTCTAAAAGCCAATTAGATCAAGTGCGTAACCGTACTAGTTACGGGACTTGGGGAATGCCTAACACCTTTTTCCCGAGTCAAATGAATCCCCTTACCCAAATCTCTGGTGTAGACTTAGTTTTAGAGTTCAAAGTGTTTTGAAAGGAAAATTATTATTTTTAGAAAAAAATGGTGACCTGACACACCGAAATCAAATGTCAGGTGGAGACTCGGAGTCAATCCTTTTGAATACTATTTTTTGTCATTTTTAATTAAAAACCTTTTTCAAACTTTACTAAATCTTTTTATTATTATTAAGAGGGTTAGTGAGGTTTGTTTAAAAAGGGTGTGACAATATTCTACTTTGAAATAAAATATTTAAATCATTCCACAATATTCTAATTATGAATACACTATTCAACTCTAAGTAAAAATCACAATATTAATTTGGATATAGTATTCACATAATTTAGCAGTATTCAATCAATATTATAACGAACTATTGTATTCAAATAACAAATTAAAGAAAAAATCACACTATTCTAAAGAAGAACACAGTATTCAGTCATAAATAAAAACCACAATATTCTAATCGCCGAGGCAAGCCAATTTTCTCTTCATCTTTTCCTCCACAATCCACTAATGTCTTGTGAGGAGTTGATTATGTGATTAAGGAAGAGAATAAACCAGTGAAAGAACTTATGCTGTGGGAATGAATTCTGTAAATTACGATTATTATATTTTGAGAGATGTTAGATATTATTTCAACGAAGGAATTTGTTTAATGGCATATAATGATATTAAAATTTTAAAAATAAAATAAGCTTTTATAAAATAGGTATACATGGTAAAATGAATAGGATAAATTGATATGGAGTTAACTAGTGTTTCCAATAGGCATTGCCGCATAGATTTCCCTTTTTCTAATGTAGGACAATAAAAGATTTTTAATCAAGGAGAATTTTACTTTTCAGCAAACACATTGGTAAATTGGGTAATGTCACTGTGTTTGTCGATGGTAAACTAGAACTGAGAATTAGGAAAAAGATATCAAATTTAATGCAACTCTTGTACTATGTTTTAATTCTCTTTAGCTCGGTATTCGTTTCTCATGATAAAGAGTAACATATATTAAGATTTTATATAGCTGATTCTAATTAGTTTGGTATTAAGGTGTATCCGTCAAATGTTCTACAAGAAACGAGTGATAGAACGTAAAATATTGAGAAGTTTTTAGTTCAATTGATCAAGTCTCAGCAAGTATTTTTTCCACAGGAACACAACAGTTACAACTTGAAAGAAGCATATTCATGAGCTTATGTTAAAATATAAATTAAATGCTCTCAAGATTTATTTACATTGAAAATTTGCATCATTGGAGAATATAGTTCGCAAATATCATAATTTTCTAGAGAAGCAAAGAGTGATTAACTTTATCTGTTATCCTTCTAAAAATGTTTTGACCTATTTTAGGTACATACTACCAAAGAAACATAATTGTCGCTCGCTGTACCCAAATTGCTTACGTGGAACTCATCAGTCAAAAAATATTGGGAAAAATTCATATTAAAACAATTGGGTTGCCTCCTTTTCAACTTTATAGCCCATATTTCAATTTATAATTGAGTAGCCCAAAAATAAGGGGCCCAAATCCGAAAAAGGGGCGGAAAATGTCAGAAGCGGGATTTTGTATCTTTCAACGAGATTTTCTCTCATTCTTTCCATTCTTCTTCCCCAAATCTACAAAAACGCGATCTTGCGGTCGATGCAGTTCCAAAAACCCTAGAAATTCTTCTTCATCTCGAATTAACAGCAAATCAAACCCAAAAAGTGAAATTTGTTTGCTGCAAATTAGCACAATTTTCATTTTTGCTGCAATTTTGATATTAACTTTTTGTTCGATGGAGCTTTTTCCAGTTTACGTTCTTCATAGTGGTGAACGGGAAGAAACAAGTTTATCAATTTCGTCAGTGATTGTGTAATAATCGAGTCGACATTCAACTACAACAATTTAGTTGCAGCTATTTCGAAACAGATTAGGATCGGTAGTGAGTGAAACACAATAGAGATTAACTTTCTCCCAAATGATAGTTTGCCACCGATCCTAATTTTACAACGATACGGGTATTAAGGTGTATATCGAATTAAAGAAGAAAAACTTGAATTTCACCTAATACCCATTGTTTGTGATACAACAACAACAACAACAACAACAACCCAGGAAAATCCCACAAGTGGGGTATGGGGAGGGTAGTATGTACGCAGACCTTACCCCTACCCCAAAGGGGTAGAGAGGCTGTTTCCGAAAGACCCTCGGCTCAAGATAATAAGCAAAACAAGAAAAACAAAAGGGGAGAATATTAGCTTCACCATAGAGATCATAGGAAAAATAGGAACCTAAAATGCATAAGAAAAATACAAGGCAGAAATGATGGCTAGTAAATAGATCTAGCACCGAAAAGAGAAAATATTAAGACACGACAATGCCCCTAGTAATTTTCGATTAAAACCTTAGCAGACTAGGCTCACAATGGAACAAAGTAACGTAAGACTCAACTAGCTCCTAGCCTACAATTGTAATACTCGACCTCCACAAATTTCTATCAAGTGTCATGTTTGTGATAGTGAAAGAGAATTATGATAGTTGTTTAGTTGCTACAAGTTTCAGTTGTTTGGGTTCTATAAGTTCTAGTTGTTTGGTTCCTACAAGTTCTAATTCTATATATGTATCCACAATTGATAGCACTGAGATTATTCCTGATATCGAATTCATTGAAAACACGGGTATAATAGATAATATATTGAACGAATTTGTTGAGGAGGATCAAGTTTATAAAGATAAAGAGACAATTATGAATGGGATGAAGAACTTGGCTGTACGCGAGAGGTTCCAATTCAAGGTGAAGAGATCAAGCGCAACAAGGTATGTCAATAGTTGTATATTCTATTATATATATGTATAAATATGTATAAAGTAGTATATATTTGTATATAGGTATTAAAATTAGTATATATCTAGTTATGTTTTTGTATACAAGTATATTTAAAAGTTGAATGATCTTTAATCCTAGGTATCACCTTATGTGTGTGGATGACAATTGTGCTTGGAGTTTCAAATCTTCTACCGTTTTCAAGGCAAACATATTCAAAGTGAGAAGTTACAATAATAATCACACATGCGGCTATGGTGAAAGATACTTAACACAACGTCAAGCTACTTCGGGTGTAATTGCTAGTATAGTCAAGGACAAGTATGTTAATCCAAAAAATATTTACACCGCAAATGATATAATAGAGGACATACTAAAGCAACACGGGATTGAAGTGAGCTACATGAAAGCATGGAGAGCTAAAGAGATAGCAATGGCAATGATAAGAGGGAGTCCGAATGAATCATATAAGGAGTTGCCGAAGTATTTTTATATGTTGGAGCATAAAAATCCAGGAACGGTTACAAAGTTGCACAAATTAGAAGATGGATGCTTTCTTTATGCATATGTTTCGCTATATGCCTCTATCAAGGGTTGGGAGCATTGCAGACCGATAATGGTTGTTGACGGAAGTTTTCTTAAAGCAGTATATAAGGGTACCATATTGACTGCTTGCACACAGGATGTAGCTGGTGAGTTGACTGAATCTACCTTGTTTCTGCAGTTTGTATAATGTTGTAGTTTCATGTATAAAAGTGTATAGGATTTCACAGTTGCTGTTTTTATAAAATTTGTACTTGGTATAAACTTGTATAATTGTGTATAAGATTTGTATAATTGTCTGAATCCTAATATCTATTTTGTATAAACAGGAAAAATCCTTCCACTTGCATATGCAATTGTATATTCAGAGAATAATAAATCTTAGGAGTGGTTCTTTGTCCATATAAATGGTACTTTTGGTGTTAAGGAAGGGATGTGTAAAGTTTCATATAGAAACGAAAGCATCTTCAATGCCACAGTTGTAACACCCCAAATTTTTTTACAATATTTGCATTCTTGATTGAGCATTTTTTTTTATAACGAGGAAATATTTTACTT